GGGGTGGGGGAGAAGGAAGGAAGGAAGGAAACAAGAAAAAATCATCCTGCCCCATGTCAACTCCAAAGAAAGAAGATGTGGAAGAACTTAGGTGTAACTTACTAAATAGTAACTAATGTAGTTTTCTTCAAAGTAGGAGGCAGGGTATATCAGAGCCTTCATTTTACATATGAGGAAACTAACGCCCAGGGAAGCCAGGCACTTGAGCAAGACTCAGCGGCTTGCAGCCCGTTCCTGGGCTCTGCACCTGTGGCCTCTCTGCACAGCCGTGCTCCCACTCTCGGCGGAAGTGAATTCACAGAGCCAGCCCTCTGCCTGCCACACACCAGGCAGGACCTCCGGGCACTTCTGGCCTTCTGGGAGCCACTACCCAGGGGTGACCCTGTTCTGAGGTGTGGCAAGGACAGGGTGCTCTGGCTGCCTCTGCCTACTGAATGATGCAGGTAGAAGGTGGACAGGGCTAGAGAAGGCCAAGGCTCGGATACTCCAGGAAGGAGTGGCCCAACACCCCACTGTCCCACTTGCATGGGGATGGCAGGAGTCTGAGAGATGAAGGTTATCCCCAGTGCCTGGGAGCTCAGCATTGGGGATCACATTGTTAATCAAATCACACAAATTGATTCATTATTGCAAACTGCTCAGAACCCTTAAGGAAGAAAGAGCTGTCTAAAAGGATTCTAAGGGCTCAGCCTCTCCCATGAGAGATAGGGGAAAATCCCTGGAAGAGCTGGTATAAACCCAAATCTGGAGTCAACTGAGGGGGGCATCTCAGGTCCTAGCTCGCTGAAGAGGTGAACAGTGGGCCAGTGTGGTGGGGCCAGAGCAGTCAGAACAGAGGCCCAGGAAGGGACCCAGGGTGAGATGCCACTGGGAGGGACCCTGTGTGGTGGCCCCAAGAGCAGTACTATAGCCTTCAAGGGTTTTATGCAGGATCAACCCGAGAGGAGCCGAAACTAGGGGTATGTGCAGGGCTGGACGTGTTGCTACCCGTCTTGCTGTGTGGTAGCTGGGGAGGCTGTGGATTCCCTCTGCGTCTGACTTCCTAGCCACTTTGTTTTAACCCTGAAGCACCAGCCTCTATCCCACACTGTGCTCCTGAGATGCGATCGGCATGGTCCCCTTGGAAATTTTGGAGAGACTTGTGCTGTAGGCAGCTGAATTAGATAGAAATATTCTAGGCAGTCAGACAGGGCTCAAGGAGACAAGGTGGAAGACAAGGTGACTTTGCAACTTGGAAGAGACAGACACTCTGATATGGGCCACATCTCAAGACCAAGACAAAAGAGGAAACACAGCAACCTACTTCCCTAGGGATGGGCATCAGGGATTGATATTCTAAATAGCTATCAATCACCTTGAAAGAGCCCAAATGAGTCACTAGCCCAACCCCCAACAGGAAGAGACGCTGTCTCATATTCATGCCCACTTGCTACGTGACTCGCTTCCCCATTTGGTACTGGATTTAATCAATTTTACCTGAGCAATGGTGCTTGTAATCTCATTGGTTGACCATAGTTTTGTCCCACCTCATGCCCACCTAAGTGAGTTCCCATGTTTTCTCCACCACCTTAGACCCGCCTCACCACATGGTTTTACTCTATAACGTCTCTGGAAGAGACAGATTCCTGGGGACAACTCACTCGGGGCCCCCCTCCTCTCCCTCTCTTGGACAGGAGCTTTCTTTACCCCAATAAATATATTTTGCTCATAACCTTCATTTGTTCGTAAAATTCATTCTGTGGTTTTAGAGAACACGAACTTGTCCCAGGTACTTTTCAGGTTGATAGTTCAGTGTTTTTCCCTGTATTGTTTGGAGGTTCCCTGTGTCACTCGGGGCTGACCTGTGGGCATGTCCGTCCTGACAAGACCCGCACTGTGGGCTAGGTCTGGTGAACAGCCAGCGTCTGGGCACAAGGTGCAAGGTAGCAGGTAGGACTGGTTTTACAGCAGGAATGACTATGTGTAGCTGTGGACAGGTGCTGGGGGAGACTCTGGATCTGGGGTACAGTAGGCATGGCTGGGGGTTGGGGTAGGGTGAGTGCTTACAACCCTCTCTTGAAGACTGGTGTGGGATCTTTCAACACTCTTGTTAAAAGAGATTGACATCTTTTCACCTACTGGGGCTACAGTAGAGCCGAAGCAGGGCTGTAGGCACATCTCTCCAATATCTCTGAGCCTGGTGTGATTATACAGTCACGGAGGGTCACAGGTGCTGCAGGCATAACATTGCCAGGTGTCACTGTCTCCAGCCCTGCTGAGACGGCCTTTGGTGTCCCCAGGGCTCTGCTGTAGGGTGTGGATGGGCGAGGAGCTCACTCGCTAGGCCCATGTACTGTGGCCTCATCCTGGGTTGCTAGATAGTATGGTTCCAATTACTGTTCTCCAGCTATAAAAATAGTTAACAGCAGCAACCTCTAACTGGCAAAGAGGTTGATGGGCAAATAGGTTTGGAAGTTGTAGCGTCATGCGTGTGTTGTGTATTGCTGTGCAAGCGAATGACCACAAAACTTAATCCAGTGGGCCATTATCATCCCTCATGGTTCTCTCGGCTGACTGGGCTCTGCCAGATGGTTCTTGCCAGGGAGCATCTCATGGAGTGACTTATTTGCTTCTCTGTGAGTTGCATTTAGTTGTCAGGTGAGCTGGATGCATCCCAAGGCTTCATCACGCTCAGGTCTCTGTGCTGTAGTTGGTTGGGCGTTGCTCTGTGTGTGGTTTTGCTGCTCGCTGACTTGGATTTCCTCCTCACATGCTGCATTTCCAGGCATCTTGCAGGGTGGCTGGTTCCCCCCAAGTGAGCAGGCAAAAAGGAAGATGTGAGGCTTCTCCTAACCTTCCCCAGGGACCCCCTACATAGATCCCACAGCCCGTTGGTGGTCAAGCAAGTTCCTGAGGCTGGCCCCCAGTTGGGCTTGGCTCTAAAGCTCAGTAGGAGAAGAGGCCAGTAATTTGCAGGGATCTTTAATGGGGCTGCCTCTTGAGGAGTCACCATATATAAGAGTATCAAAAGGTGTTCATGAATTCCTGGATTAAGGAAATCTGTTTAAGTCAGCATTTCCCAAGCTGATTATCACTGCTATTTTTAAAATCAGGAAATACCTTTCTTATAGAATATCACTGTATTCTGCCAGAGAACAGTGGGCAGAAATGGAAGGATGCTGGCTAGATTTGGGGCTCTGTGTTAATATCTAATGAACGAAACTTTCCAAAGGTGGAAGTTGGAGATTAATCAGTTCTGAATCTGAAGAAGTGATCAATAGATCTGCACAACCATCCACTTGGATGGGGAGCCCCAGTAGCCTAGAGATTAAAGCTCCGATTTTGTTTCCAACAGACTTAAGTTCAGATTCGTCTTCCCTCTCTCCAGCTCTGCGATGGCGTGCCCACAGTTCTCCCTGACTTCGATTTCCTTATCTGTAGAATAGACAGGTTCTATCACACAGAGTTGCTGTGCCGAGTACTGAGATCCTGCCTGTGATTGCCTTGGCACAGCTCCTGGTCATGGTCGGTCAATGTTAGGCATCATTGCTCTGATGTGTGGAGAAAGCCTTCCATGATTAGACTTTGCGTTTGCCCAGTTCCAGTCACCTCTGGGGTTTTATAACTGAGCTTATTTGAGACCTGCTGCCAGGGCAAAGCAGCATTACAAGTCACAAACCTTCTCCCACTTGTCTTACAAAAATAACCTCTTTGTCCTTTCGTGTTTTCCCCCATCTAGTTTCTCATAAGTGACCGGGACCCTCAGTGCAATCTCCACTGCTCCAGGACTCAGCCCAAACCCCTGTGTGCCTCCGATGGCAGGTCCTATGAGTCCACGTGTGAGTACCAGCAGGCCAAGTGCCGAGACGCTAGCCTGAGTGTGGTCCATCGAGGTCGATGCAAAGGTGAGTGTGTGCCTTACCCCGCCCATGAGAAGCTGCTGGAACAGGGGCTCCTGGTGCTGTGTGGTCACTGCAGGGGGCTCAAAATGGGTCTGTTCATTTGATTTGCTGTCGCATCTCTGGATCCTTCTCATCAGGGATTATGGAAAGGAGGGCTGGTCTACTCGAAGTTACCCGCACCTTCCTTGTCTTCCGGATGCTGCCACCAGGCTAGGCCTTTGATGTGCTATTCTCTGGCTAGTTCTTTGTTGTTTGCTTTTGTTTGTGTTTTAAAAAGAGAGTGCAAGGCATTATTGCTGGCCCTGAATAGGGATTCCAAACTGGTGGCCAACAGATGTGTTTTGTTTGATTTGCTATAATATATTAAAAACATTTGAGATACTATTTAAAAACTAAGGAAATTGAACATAAAATCTGTGTTTTGGAACTTTTCCTTCAAAACTGGGAGTTCTGGCCCTATTAGATCTGCAAAGCAGCACATGGTTAGAGCAGAGTGGCCTCTGTCCCCAAAGGTGAGCCTGCTGTCCGTTTGCCATAGTCCTCTATGCTCCCTAGGGCCTCCCAGGAAGGAGCACCATTGTTCTTCTCATACTAGTTGATCTCACTTTCCTAAGACCTGTAGATATTTGAGTTTGAGCTCCTGGGTTGCTTAGTGCAGGAATTATAGGAATTAAAGACTGAGAAAGCTGCCTCAGAATGCTTGATTTTTTCTAAAGAAAGTACTAGTGATTTTGGAACTCTAAAATAGCCAGTCAGATGTCACTAGCCACGGTCCACTGGAGAGACAGTTTGGTGGGACATGGGGCTTTCTGAGTGGAGAGGCTTTCTCTCAGCATTCTTGTCTCTGGGCAGTCATTTTGTACCATGGCTTCCAGGGGGAATTCAAGTGAAATATGAAATATGCTGCTCTCCCCTTTTAGATGCTGGCCAGAGCAAGTGTCGCCTGGAGCGGGCCCAAGCCCTGGAGCAGGCCAAGAGGCCTCAGGAAGCAGTGTTTGTCCCGGAGTGTGGTGAGGATGGTTCCTTTACCCAGGTGAGGCCTAGGACTTTTCCTTCAGGCTGCTTGCTGGGCTGAGGCAGATGGAGGTGCCTGCAGAGCAAGGGCTGCTGGACGCCTTTATTATCTGGGAAGCACTGAGTGCGTGGCTCTTTGCCTCCTCTCTGAGGAGGATTCAGCTGGCAGCACCTACCCCCAGGCCCCACCCCCCACCTTCCACAGCACCTCTTGCCAGCTGGCAGTGGGCCCTGACAAGATGCATAGAAGCCAGAGGCAGGAAGCTGGCATGGCCTGTCCCATCCTCCCTGCTGGCCATCTCTGCTAAGGGCCAGACCTGCGTTTTTCTATTCTGTCCAAAGTGGGATGATTATATTTTTTTATCCTTGCCAGTTTCCGTGGGCAACCCCTATGATTCTCCGCACTGTTTATTGCTACCCGTCTATACTCCGTGTGTCCTACTCATCCCTGAATGAAGCAGAACCCTCTTGGGGTGTGTGTGTGTGTGTGTGTGTGTGTGTGTGTGTGTGTGTGCCAAAGATATTAAAATCTTTTTGGCAGTTCCACCTACTTATACCCTGCAGGGTCTTCTAGTTAGTGCTGTGTGTAAAGGTAATGCTGACTGCGTTGATGTTGGCACAGACTGTTTCTGGAACATACCAGGGGCAGACAAAAGTGCTTCTTAGAAAAATTTCTAGGCTTCCTCCTCCCCCATTTGTACAGGGGCCTGGGGAGGGAGGCAGCAGGCTTCTTTGAGTCAGGATGCTGTGCAGGAAGTGGCACATGGGGCTGCCTTGATGGAGCAAAGGAAGGGCCTTGACCCTGGACAGAGTGAGCTTGGCCTGCCTGCAGATGGAGGCTTTGGGAGTTTAAAAGTTTCTCTGTAATTGTGGATCAACAGGGCAAAGGGCATAAGCTGGACTTTGATCCGTGGGCCTGCAGGTTTCACTCTGGGCTTGGGTATCAGAGATCGCTGCTTTCTGAGTGAGGCTGGACTTTGATCCGTGGGCCTGCAGGTTTCACTCTGGGCTTGGGTATTGGAGTGAATTGGAGATTCACTCACTGCTTTCTGAGTGAGGCTGGGTGGGTAGAAATGTAGGAGACTAGTGGGACAGAGGTTGGATATCCATGTTTTAAAAGTTTCCCAGTTGATGAAAATTTTTGTATTTATTTGTTTGGTATGGGTTCTCACCATGCAGCTTGGACTTGTAGTTAGCCTTTGTGGTACAAGGGATCAAGCCTGGATCCTGGGTGGGCCAGATAGCTCAGCAGACTAAAGGACCTGGTTAGGCAGAGTGCAGGCACCACAAGCCATGCTGGCCCTGACCCTGGGGAGTGCTGAGACTAAGACTGGGCATGGTGACACCCACCTGTAATCCCAGCTTTTGGGAGGCTGAAAACAGGAGAATCACTGAGTCCGATCTGTGTAATGAGACCCTGTTGACCCTGTGCTAAATACAAAAAAACCCCAAAAAAACAAAAACAAAAAAACCCAGGTCCTTGCGCTTGCGGAGTAGGCACTTAGACCCCTGAGCTATCTCCCCGGCCCCTCCCAGTTGATTTTAATTTATAGCCAGGCTCACAAGTATTGGGATAAACTGGACTCAGCCGCCAGCTGGGGGAAAGGTGCTTTTTATTCATTTTCTTGTTTAAATGTTACCATAAACCCAGAGGTAGGTATCATTATCCACATTTCCAAATGATGCAACAGCCGTAGGATGTACAGCGCAGAGCTGGGGTTCCAGCCCCGACTCCCCCAAAGCCCTCTGGACCGTAGGGTTCAGTGGAGGCCCGGGGTGAGCCAGAAGGCGCGGTGTGTCTCTGTGGTTCGCGGGCTGCTTCGGGGGGCCAGGCTGCCTGGGCGTGCCGCCAGCCTCACCACGGAGTTTCTCCGGGCCACAGTTTCCTTATCTGAATAATGAGTGCAATTATCTCCATTATCAGTATAAGTTATCCACATGTTAAATGTTATTATTCACATTATGTCATATATGTTACATATTGCTCTTAGGGTACATTAAGCATTGCTGTTGTTATCAGCAACGCTAGTAGTAATGACTGTTATTATTACAGCCTCCCTCATGAGGCTGTGATGAATATCGAAGGAGGGCACACGTGCAGAACAGTTGGAACACGGGAAGGCCCTGAGAATGTCTGTCCCTGTCATCACTGTGACGGCTGTCTCTCCAGCGGTTCTTCTACGCAGATCTCCTTAAGATTTTACAGAGGATGCCACTTAAGGAAAAAAAGACCCCAACTCTTTTGTCAAAACTTCCCAAGGGTAGAAGTTGATTGATGAGCTCTCTCGTCAACTTGTAATTTGCTGTTAGTTCTAGTAAAATGAAGGGGGGTGATCTCGGCATACATCGTGGGGGATGACCCTGCTCAGCTTGCCTTGGGGCTGGGATGGGATGAAGGTGTGGAGGGGAGGGTGCGGTGGATGGAGGGGTGGACGGAGGCAGTTTTTCCTTTCTCGGGGCCTGTGTGATCCTGGGTGTGTTGCTGAGGAGCGTGACTGAACCCCGTCCTGATCCGCAGTGTCTGCGGCCTGTGATGGGCGGCCCACTGGGCAGCCTTTGTTCTGGGGAGGCCAGGCTGGGCCGTGTGATGCTCGCTGAAGGTGAGAAACTTGCAGCTTGGTCCAGGCTGAGGGGCCAAGTGAGTATGCACCCCAAGCTCAGCAGAGGCCACAAGGACAGGTCCTTGTTCCCTTGACACGCTAAGCACTGCCATGTGGGCACAGGCTCACGGGAGCTCGCCTTGTGGGCTGCCAGACAGCCAGACAGCAGCCCATGTCTGCTCAAATGATTGAAATCAATGTGCCTGTCCCTTGATCAAAGAACACTGCAGTAACTTCCCCAAATGAGGCTGCCTCTGTGACTGAGCCTCGGTCACACTGTTGGGCTGCCAGAACGCCTGGAGCCAAGGCCTTTCGTCTTCCTCTCTTCCTCCATCACCCCTTTGCTGGATATTTTCCCCAAGACTGAAATATACCACTTTACCATTGCTTAGAGCATTGTTGGGTCGGCATCCTGGTGTTAATAACACATCTTAGCCCTGGGAGTTGTTACACACCCTCTTGAAGTTTGTGGAGGGGATAATAGGGTTCTAATGGGATTGGGTTTGTCTGCTGTGGGACACAGCTTGTGGCCACATGACTGAGTTGGCTTTAATAGAGTTCATGTGGGATTCCATGGCTTTTCTTCTCTTCCTTTGTTACCCCTTGTCTTCCTTCCTTTGCTGACCCCCACCCCATCTTTCTCTCTCTGTCTGTCTGACTCTCTCTCTCTCTCTCTCTCTCTCTCTCACACACACACACACACACACACACACACACACACACATGCTCATCTTCCTTTTTCATCAGAGATCCTAAAGCTGAATATTAGACCACATTTGATTTTTTTTTTTTTAATACTGATATCAGAACCCACACTACCTCTCAAACCATTCCATTAAATTCTGGGAATGGGACCCAGACACTATTTTTTTTTTTTTTTTTTTTTTAGAGTTCTCTGGGTGATAGAAGTATTTGGCCCAAGTTTTGAACCACTGTTGGAAGGCTTCACCTCTCTTCATCATGTCATTGAAATGCAGATTTAAGGCACTTTGGTGACCCTTTGAATCAGAACTGACCAGCTTTATCTTTTGCTGTGATCTTATCTGTTTTCTGGGTGTTGGGAACATAATTTCTGGCATCTTTTCCACCATGCTTTCTGCCAAGCAGTTGTCTAGTGCCCAGGCTGATTAGCTGCCAACTCCAGCGTGGATGCCACCATCAGGGAGTAGTGGGCGAGATACGTCAGCACCTGCCTCGCTGAATAACAGTGACTCTCAGTTGGGTGCTGGCTGACACTTAGTTTCACTTCTAGGAATTGATTTTAAGGAAATAATTTTAAATATGTGAAAAGGTTTGACCACAAGGATTTGCATCTAGGGCTGGGGAGATAGCTCACTGATCTAAGCACCTGTCTTGAAAGTTCAAAGACCCAGGTTCAATCCCCAGTACCATATGCCATACCACATACCTCTTCCTTATCACAACCTCTTCAATGACACTTCTCTACACAAAGGAAAACCAAGTTTCAGAGCTGATGAACAGCATCGTGGGGTCCCTGAGCTACCAGGGTTTTTATTCAAATCTGCCTCACTTCAAGGCTGCTGCTCCGAACACAAGGCTGCAGTAGCGGCCTTGGCGCATGTGTTCCATTTGCATCACCACTGTTACCCCACAAGTTCCCTCTGTTGTTGCCCAATCAATTAAATACACATTAAAGAGTCTTTTGATTATGGAAAATTTTAAAAACACAAAACGTAGGCATAATAGCGTAATGAGCTCCATGTACCCATCTCTGGCTTCAACAGCGACTGACGTGTGGTCAGGCCTGGCCTTTTGTGCCCTGATTTTCATCTCCCATCCCAAACTGAATCACTTCAAAGCAGATCCCCAGGCGTGGTATCTTTTTATCCTAAACAGATGCTTTTGAATTCAACTGTGTTCTGGGCTGATTGCTATGGGGGATTTAAAAATGTCATGACCCCTGCCTTCAAGGAGTGTGAGCATAGGAAAGCTTCCAATGGAAAAGGTATTAAGACAAATGCTAATGTAACTGCATAAGAGGTAATATGTGCATGTATGATTGGTGCAATATTTCAAAAACACCTATTCACAAGTCATTTAGTTAGAATTTAGAAATATATTTAATTTTTAAAAATTATTTATTTATTTATTTATTTGGGACAGGGTCTCACTACACAGCTTGGACTCATGATGATCCTCCTGTCTCAGTGGAGAACAGTGCTGGGATTACAGGCATGTGCCACCACACCCGGTGTTGGTGGCTGGTTTAGCGTGCATGGTAACAGGGCCAGTATGACATATTGTCCCTGTGCTTGCCTAAGCAGGTACTTAGACCACTGAGCTGTTTCCCCAGCCCCAGAAATACATTTAGTTGTCAAGAAAATATATACAAATTTAAACTTTTTGACCATAAACACCTTAAAGCTAAACTAAAAAGCAGTGGCACCATGAGCTTTGA